CCTTATATTGTTACTTATTGGTGGAAGTAATGATGGTGATGGTAAGATGTTGGTGCATATTATTTGTTAATGATGAAAAAAAAGATTTCGAACAACTTCGTTAATGTTGTGATGGTTTTCGGCAGTGACAGCAATAAGAGCAGTTACATGATCCTTTTAGGAATTTTGCCATTGAACCGGGATTTAAATCGAATTTTAGTGTAAAATGGCTTCATTTGGCGGGGAGAGAAGAGGGGAGGGTGTGGACGGATGGGTTTTAATTTTGTGGGCCAGGTTCATTTTGATGTTTGAGGATTTGTTGGTGTGACGAGGCTTTGGCTTTTACTGCATTCTTATAGTATATCTAATTTGATTGATGAATCTTAATAGGGAGGTGCATTTATCTGTTACTATTGTTTCTTACTGATGTTGATATTTTGGTGGGGAATGGAGGAAAAAAAAAGCAGAAAAACGTCATTACTGGTAGACGTTTAGGGTTAATGTTTTATCAGTCAGTTATTCCAAATGTAAAAATAACAAAACATTCATTATGGATTTTTATTTCATCACTTTGCTCGCTGTCTTATATTGGTTAGTCAGCGTTATGCTGCTAATAATCATCTCAGGTCAGTCAAAGAGGCTGCACGTCCCAAAACTCTTTACTCAATAACTTCAATACTTTCTTCCTTTCTTCATCGACAGATTTCTTCTGTTATTTTAATTTAATTTTATTTGATTTTTTATTTTTAATTTATAATTTTAATTTTTTGTTTTTGCTGCTCACTACTTTCGCCACTCATAGAATCTATAACAGTGAATAGTAAATTTGCGTGATGTAGGGGAGGAACACTCGAGTGATAAAATGGGATGATGAAATGGTAGCAGTATTCAACTAGAGGGCTTGGTTGTCTTGTGTTTTTTAAAACTGTTGTTGCAATTTGTAGTCATGATTTTTATTTTTTGATCTCGTTCTATTTTCTTTATTCTCTTCTGTTGTTGTTGCAACTCACTATATCGTAGGTAAAGGTGATTTGCTGTTTGTTGAATTAACGTGAACCGTCTTCTTGTAGCATTAGTACAGTTTTTTGTTTTTCCAGCGAGCGAATGACAGCAGAAGAAATAATAACATCAAATCAGGGATCAGTCACTCAGTCGGTTGAAGGTGGTCAACAGCTTCCAGGTGCATGGTATTTTGAAATTGGTTCTGAAGATGGGTCTCCAACATGCGAATTTCACGATGACTTCAGGTGTTTCATTGTCTACAATAATAATTTTTTCTTTATATGTGGCACCTGCCTAATGTTTACGTTTTAGCAGTTTGCGGACAGCCTTCCCGATGAATTCTAGGAATGTTACCGAAAGTGTAGAAGTGCCAAGCAGTGAGCATGTTGCTGAAATCGTTGGTCGTCAGGGTTAGTGATTAAATGTCATTTCTTTGGTGTTTTCTTAGACATTACTCATTACTTCAACAAAACGGAGTCGGAAAGCTAAGTTTAAATTTGCAAGTTTTTTCTACTATGTTTCTGTTCTTGGAATTATTCTTGTTAACTTGCAAATTTTTATTCTTGCAGTTTTTTAATGCGATTATGTAACTCTTTGAATCGAGAAAAGTGTTTAGTATCACCTCTTATATATGAATGACGATGCGGCGCTCAAGTTCTGTAGACTGAAAATTACCTGCATTTTTTTCCGTTTAAATCAAGAATTTGTTTTTTCAGTAGTCATTTTTCTTTAAAAAAAAAAAATTTTGTTTGATAAGGTGTCTGTTTGCACGGTATTACAAAATATTCCGTTGAACATTTTTTTTGAAGTTCACGTGCGTTTTTGGAGAACTAATTTGGCGTCTAATTAAGCAATTAATGCTGTTAAAAGTAATTATTTATTGGATCGTCCGAGGCGAATTGATGAGTTGCAGTAAAAACTAATATTGATTTGGTTTTAGAAAGGGCTTTTAAGACGTTTTCATATAAATAAAATGTTTGCTGGTGCACATTTGTTATTATCTGGTGAGAAATATTTAATCAGCCATTTTTTGTCATTTTTTAATATTAAAGATCTCACTAACAGACTGTACCACTTCTGAGATTTTAACATACATTGAGGGGCTATTATTCATTCATTTTTAATGATGCTTGACATTTGTAAATGAAGAAGGAAGGAATAAATTTGCCTAGGACATAGTGTTCAATGTTCAAAGTGGAAGAAATTAATGCTGTATTCGTTCTTGCAGTTAATGTTACAAGAGGTTTTTTTTGTGTTAGTTCAACGTTGGGTATTCCCTACTTTATCACCAAATGCCTATTAGAGGGGGAAAAGTGAAGAAAGTATGATGTAGCGGTATTTGTATTTCGTTACTCAAGAAATGTGATTCTTAAGGAGTCTTTTTTAGCTGTTGTTTATCTTAGCCTTGGACATTCATTTTGTGAAATCCATTCAAAATTTTTTGTCGAATAGGAAAAAATTTTCTTAGTGGTCTCGCATTTGTCGTTACTGTTTATTGCGCATTAAAGGAGTATGGTCCAAACTGCTAGCCTTGCTAGTTTTTGTTGTAATCAACAAAATTTCGTTTTTTTTTCCTTTCTTTTCTTCCCTACAGTTAGATGGATGTAGACGTCAGTTAGGCCTTGTAGGCGTTGACCTCCTCTTACTGCAATTTTTTTTTTGTGCAGTTTAAGGCCGTAATTAGGATGGCGACTACATGGCAGGGGAGAACAATATTGTGAGTGAGGGGCAAAGTGTTAGTGCAAATTAGCAGCATTTGTGCATTTAAGTTGACCTATTTTTTCCATGAAAGTTTCTATATATCCACAGTCAGTTTTACTGCGTATTTTCTTGAAAGTGGTTAGGATATAGAGGCTCCATTTACACGGGGCTTGCTGTTGAATTTTTATTGCAGTAGAATTTAGTGGGGTTTTATTTTGCTCACTTCAGCTTTTATTTGATTGCGTAGTTTGAAGAAGACTTTGTCTTGGGAACTGTTGCGGATTGCTTGTTGTTGTTGGATGATTACAGTTATCACTTTTCTTCTGTTAGTTATTTATTTTTGAGAAGTTCTATTTGGCAGGTTATTTTCAGGTTGTAAAATCAAGTCGTTACGGGCAAAAACAAATACTTATATAAAAACACCAGTTAGAGGGGAAGATCCCATTTTTGTGGTTACTGGGAGGCCAGAAGATGTTGCAGATGCAAAACGAGAAATCGAGTGTGCTGCAGAACACTTTACACAAATAAGAGCGAGCAGAAGACATAGTCAAGGTGGTGCTCCTGCCCCTGGTCATATTACTGCTTATGTTCGGTATGTCCTTCTATTTTTCCACCAATATATTTATCTTAAGGAATTTTCCATCAGGTTTCAATTTGATTTTCTGGCGCCTTCAGTTATTGTTTATTAATGTTATTTTATAGGGTGCCTTTGCGTGTGGTTGGACTTGTAGTTGGACCAAAAGGTGCTACGATCAAACGTATTCAGCAAGATACTCACACATATATCATAACTCCATCTCGAGAGAGAGAGCCAATTTTTGAAGTCACCGGTTTGCCTCAAAATGTTGAAGCAGCTAGAAGAGAAATTGAGCAGCACATTTACCAGAGAACCGGAAATATGCCGATTACTGATCCAAGTGCTTCAATCGGGTCTTACGACCTTCAGGTTATTTAAAATTCATCTACTGGATTTCACTGCGATTTTTTATTACTGGAGTTTAGGTGAATAAACCCAATTTGTAGGGTTGTCTTGCATCTGCAGCTAGTCTTCGGAATTCCAATCTTAGCTATGGTGCTTTGGCACAAGCGACAAGAAGACCCTCTGCAATTGATACCATTCAAACTAATTATGATCTGTTGAAAAACTCGGCTGATGTGACGTTCAGTTTGGTAATTTTACATTTGCTTAACTTGATTTATTTTTGTTGAGTCTACCTCTTTAATTGTTTTGGGATATATATTGCCATCCCACGCCAAGTCTCACACTTTTTAATGGGCCTCTCAGATTTTCTTCATTTTTTCCTAGTTTGTGGCGATTAGTACTGATTTTTTGAAATCCATTAGTTTACCACAAAAAGTCTGCTGGTAGCATAGGTTGACTGTTAAAAATTGCGAAAAAAGATGCAGTTTTTTGTTTGACATGGTCATATTTATAGACTTGTTCTCCTTGTTCACATTGAGTATTTGTAGTTTGTATTTTATTTGAAAGCCTGTTTTCTTCATGTTTAAAAGAGAGATGAAACATGCATTTCAGCATTCAAAATGAATAAAAACAAAAATTTGAAATGTTATCGATAAAAAGGGACACTTTGTATTTTTTTAAAACGGTGTGCTTTTTGAAGGCATAGTTGTTGTAAAACAAAGCGTAATAGTAAGTTGGCTTTTTATGGTGTCAGGAGTTATATGGTCAGAAAGTCCGGAAGAAATTCATTTTACGCGCTATTCCGGTGCCTGTGCAAGCGATAATATCCTGATTTAAACTGAAATTTTCAACTGTAATGATGCATATAATTTATTGGAAAATTTTATTTTACCTTTTCAGTAACATATAGTTATCCAAAAAATATTTGGTTTCAAATAGTTTTAGCGTTTTTTAATAGAAGGATTACTGTTATGATTAATTTTTCGGTTTGTACCTTTTTGCTTCCTTACTGAACTCCTCTGGTCCAAATGTTTCACACTCACTCTTGGCTATTGACTGCGAATATTGTTTTGCTAATATCGTCTCAACACGCTGTGATGTAAAATGCAAAACACTCGTTACAATACGTCGTATAGTGCTGAGATGATAATAGCGAGGCAACACTCGCAGTGAACAATCAGTACTGAATATGAAAAATTCAAGTCAGAGGAGTTCATTAAGGAAGTGAAGCGTTACGAGTTGGTAAAGTAATCATAATAATATTTTTCTGGAAAAATTTATAAACCATATAAAGGTTAGGAATTGAACTACGTACACATTATCGAACTAGTAGGAACGAAAAAAGTTTCCTTTTATTACATATATAATTAAATTAAAAAACATTTTAGTTAAAACTAGGAGTTGTGTCGTTTGCTGAGGCTCCAAAATATTGCTTCAATTAAAGTTTTTTTGCGGTCTACCGTCACCAATCGTATCATAAATCTTGAGACGATAAAGATGCCATTTTGCAGTTTGTTGTGCGGAAATTGTGCGATCGGAAATTTAAAAAATTTGAGACGGTTTTTTTTTTTTTTGTTGTTGTTGTTGTTGTTGTTGTTTGATAAGAAAAACGCGCTGATTTTTTGTTTTTGTTCGGGTTGTGTACGAAATTTGTTACTATGCATATTTCACCAGTCCTCTGAATCTACAGAAGATAGGCTTTCAAATAAATTGAAAAGGAAATGAATAAAGAAGATTGCAAATTGTTCAAGGTGACCATGTTGAGCAGAAGTTACTTTTTTCCGCACTTTAATTTTGCCGCCAGTGCACTTTTTGAGGAGAACTGCTTTGATTTCAAAACTAGGTATCAGTTTGTTAAGAACTAGCAAGAAATAAAAGGGATCTGAGTGGTCGACCGACAAGTGTGCGACTTGGCATGGATGAGGTAAAACACAATAAAGTTATATATATATATATATATATATATATATATA